CTTTGATAAAATGCCGGTAGTAACCTGCTAATCCCAGAAAACTACGGATCTCAGTTATCGATTTTGGTCTCTCCCATTGCATGACTGCTTCAACCTTATATGGATCAACTGCAATACCATTTGCCGACACAATATGTCCCAAGAACCTAACCTCTCTCATCCAAAACTCGCACTTACTGAGCTTGGCATATAGCTTATGATCTCGCAGAAACCTTAGGACAGTCTTTAAGTGTCTGGCATGCTGCTCCTCATCTTTAGAGTAGATCAATATATCGTCAATAAAAACTACCACAAACTGATCCAAGAAAGGTCGAAAAATGCGGTTCATATAGTCCATGAAAACCGCAGGCGCATTAGTCAGCCTGAATGGCATAACCAAAAACTCGTAATGACCATATCGAGTCCTGAAAGCAGTCTTTGCCACATCTTTCTCACTAACCCTCAGCTGATAGTACCCTGAACGTAAATCAATCTTAGAGAAAATCGTGGCACTAACCAACTGATCTAAGAGATCATCGATGCGAGGCAGTGGGTACTTGTTCTTCACCGTAACCTTATTCAACTGCCTGTAATCGATACACAATCTTAAACCACCATCCTTTTCTTCACAAATAAGACAGGAGATCCCCAAGGAGAAACACTAGGTCTAATAAATCCCTTATCTAACAGCTCCTCAAGTTGCTTTTTCAACTCAACTAACTCTGAAGGAGCCATTCTATAGGGAGCCTTTGAAATTGGCTGAGTCCCCGGTACCAGGTCAATTGAGAATTCAACCTCACGTTCTGGAGGTAATCCTGATACATCCTCAGAAAACACCTCTGGGAACTCCCTAACAACCTCAATTTCATCCACTATACCTGTTTCAAACCCTTGAGTAGCGAGCACTACCACGTAAGCCTCACAACCCTGCTCAATCAACCTTTCAATTTGCAAAGAAGAAAGAAAACAAGAATGACCAGGGCATTCCTTGATCACCTCCGGTACTTCTACTAAAGTCACTGTCTTAGCCACACAATCTAAGACAGCACCATAAGCTGTCAACCAATCCATACCAATAATTAAATCAATCCCTTGCATAGGTAATTTGATCATATTCACCCAAGTCGATCGCCCATTAAAAGTCATCTTAGTCCTACAGACCACACTGATCGACCAACCAAACTAGAAGTAGAGGAAACTTCTATATCATGGGGCAACTGGTCAACAGGCATAGCCATTCTATCTAAGCGCTCGGCAGAAATAAAAGAATGCGTCGCACCACAATCAAACAAAGCTTCTAAATCGAGGCCACAGATAGAAACCATACCAGTGATTAGATTCGATGACTTCCTAGCCTCCTCCTGAGATACTGTATACACTCTACCAGGAATCACGTTCCTCCGGTCCGAGCTCTCATGTAAATCAGGGCAGTCACGGATCAAATGGCCTAACTTTCCACACTTGTAGCAAGCAAAGCAGCGACCAAAATGAACCCTACCACATCTATTGCAAGGTGACCTCGCTGTGCTTATAATTGAGCTTGACTGGTTTGTGAAGAATGTGCTGGAGCATTCCCAAAGAAATGAGAACCCCCAGATCTCATATTACCACCCCGATTACCTTGAAATCTTGAACCCCTATTTAAATTTTGATTACTAGAAGTAGAAGAAGACCCGGTTCTAAAGGAGCCACTAGAAGAAGAACCAGAGCTAAAACCCATTCTCTTGGATACACCACCAGTAGGAGCCAACCCAAAAGAAAATCGACCTGGTGTATCCCTACTCCGGCTACTCTCTGTGTCTCGACCTCGACGAGCGACAATCCTCAGACGATTACACATCTCATCATATGTCGCCTCGCCTAACAAAGATAGCTGCTGGCGGTATTTGGCCTCATCTTTTCTAATAACCTCTTTGCTTTCCACTTGCTATCATTAGAAGCCTTCAGATATGTTGAGAACTTAGACAGCTGATTGAATTTTCTCATAAAAGTCTCCTCGTCTAAGTCCCCCTGCTGAAATGCATGAAACTCTGCCTCTTTCTCATCTCTGAAAGCTGGCGGAAAGTGAAAATCATAAAATCTTTCTTTAAATTCATCCCAAGACATAGATCTTCCATCTGTGGGCTTAACAGAATCCTACCAATGCTTGGCTTCACCAACAAGCTGCATCGTAGCCAAGATAACTCTTTGCTCAGATGTACACCTCACAACAGTAAATAACTGCTCCATCCGATCCAACCACTCCTCAGCTTTCCCATCAAGCATACTACCATCATATGTGGTCGGATTAGAGCGAGAGAATTCCTTCCAAGGTTCGGATATGTCATCCTCTCGATTATTAACAACTGGTGCATGAGCTCCCATAGTACTAGAAGATTCCTGCCCAGCACTTAGGTCAACATGCTTATCTGGAACAGTATGACTTCTAAGATTTGCTGTATATCCACCATAACTTCAAGTAGCCTAGCCATGACTGCATCTGTCCCCTGTGGTGGTGGTGGAGGTGGAGGTGGAGGTGGAGGTGGAGGCGGAGGAGGTAAAGGTGGTGGTCGTTCCTCATTCCTCGATCTACCCCTTCCCCTTCGAGCCATATTAGAACTGAAAGGTGTACGGCCACAAGCGTACGGACCTTTCTCCCCTCCTAAAGGAACAAACCAGAGAAAGAAAAACAATATTAGTCCAGGTTAGTGGTAGAAGGGAAAGAGCAAAAAAGTAATGTATTTAAGGTGCCAAGTAGGAAAAAGGAATCATAAACCTAAAACTGATACCAAATCATAGTCAAGTTGACTCAATGGTACCAGGTTCAGCCTCAACTTTGCTATGTAGGAGAGGTTGGAGGATCGAACCTGGGAAGGCTCCCTTAGCGCAGTAGGTGCGGGGAATAACTCCTAAACTACCAGGAGGAAAGCCGGCTTGGTTGCCGTGAGGTGGCACGGCCTAGTCCACCACTTACAGCAGTGGGCTCGGGGGGGTGTGACTGTTACAGTGCTTTTCCCCGAATCTGATTCGATGAGCTAGGTCCTAAAATATTGAGAATTAAGAGATGAGTATAACCACTTAATAATCAAGTTTTATCTAATCTATACAGTTGTATATTAATTGTAAATAGATGCAAACAGGCAAGCACACAAATAACACATATAAGGAACTTAATCATGGTTCACAAAACTAATAATCATGTGACTGAACCTAAAAACACATATATTCATTTTTAAATCACAATGCACAATATAGGGTCGCAATACTACCAACCATGTGCCCCTAACACATGCCAACTACAATACAAACAACTATGTGGTTGGATTTATATGTATGATTAAATGATAACCTTATACCCTCCTGTTACCTCTGACATGAAACTGGGGGCTATCACGTGGCTACATCCGTCACAGACTAACTCAGCCTTCTACTTGTGAGAAGCTATCAGACTAAAGTTAACTTACTCACTTATATAATTTAGTTTCCCCTAATACTAACAATCATAAGTTGTCGTACTCATAATCTAGCCTCCTCATGAACTGATGAAGACTAGTTAGGTTTGAGTCTCTTGTAGAACAAGTAGGACAGTCTTGAATCAACCATAGGATAAGGGCTATCTCTTGATTTTAACCATTGGTGCCAAGGTAAGTTTCCAATTCTAACAGTTACTGCTAATACCATGTAGATTTAAATCAATCTACTCCTTTCCCTAGGCGAATTCCCGCCAATAATCATACTATACACATTTCTCAAATAATATGCATTTCGAATAATCAATTCATGACACATAAACTCACACACTCAAATATTCCACATACTTAACACATTACACATCATAATTCTTAGTGATAATTAGGGTCCACTTTAATGATTTTCCATAAAAGTATCCTAATTTTGTTTCAGTGATAGTTACCCTTGATTTTTTAGGGTGGGAAATTTATAGGAGTATTTATTATTTTAAAGAGAACTTGTTATAGTTATTTTTGTATGATAGTGACTATTTAGAATTTCAACTAACATATATAGCTTATATATCTGACTTGAGAGGACTTAAAGGAGTTGATAATGAGAAGTTTTGAATTATAGGCTTTCTATATTCTCTTTTGTCCTATAAAAATAGGACCAAGATCTCGCTGAACCTAGTTGAATGTCTTATCCAATGTGCATGGACGATGCCATTGTGTCCATGACCTAGCTTCTTTTCTACTTTCTATTAGGTCATTGATCTGAACATGAGGTTCATTGTTGAAAACTTTGTTTGAGCTTGGTTGTTGTGACTAGTGTAGATTGTTAAATATTAATAGGGAGTATTGATTGTTTAGGATAGGGAAGATGGTCGATGCATTAAATCTGTGAAAAAAGAACTTTCTTAAAAAAGATGAAGATAAATATAAAAAAAATGAGGTAGAAACACAAAATAAATTTTGAACTGAAGGCTTGGGAAGAGTTGCTGGAAGCTAAAAAAGGCCAAATATGTTGAGAAGGTGAGGGAATAAAAAGCGGATAGAAATGTTGAAAAAAATAAATATAAAGTTTTTTTTCACACGAGATGCTTGTGAGGCAATTAATAGAACTTGTAGAGTTTGTGAAAATTAATGAGAACTTAAGAATGAGGGTAGAAAACATAAGGTTTGAAATGTTGTTTGATATCTGATGGAAAGCAGTCCCTCAAAACCTCTATTTTCAATTAACGTCTTTATATGATTCATCTATCCATCAATTTCACATTAATTTCAGATTAAAAATTCAGGATGTTACATTTTTTAAATTTTAATATAGTTAAAAAATAAATAAATTTATTTTTCAGTTAAAATTTAAAACACAGTTTTAAATTTATCATAATGAAATTATAAAATTAAAAATTAAATTTATAAATTTTTTGAATTTCACACTTAAAATTTAAGTTGAATTTAAATACCTAAGTAAGCCCTGAGCCTTGACTGCCATTTCCTAGTCCCTCGTTGAGCTGTCCCTTGTATGAGCAGAGCGGGAGACACGCTCGTACGCGTGAGTGTGACGTGGAAAATTTGAAATCCCTGGGCGCGTCCATGGCCCGTTGAAACTTGAATTTTTATAGGCTTTCACCATTTCTCTCTTCTTCCTCACTGGTAAATCCTCCACTGCACATTCAGAGGCTCTCTCCTATCGGATTTATTACCCGGCGTTCTATTCTTCATTCCTTCCTGTTTCCACCGGTGAGCAACATCGACTATTTCTTATTTTAATTTTGTTCATTTATTGCTTGCTCGTCGTTTTTTCAGTACATCGGTGTTTCTCCTGACTTCGCCTGGTACGTCTCCTTCGATTAGTGTACTTAATACTTGATTTTAATTATTACTGAGAAACAGAATTACTGCGAATAAAAAGAGGGCATAATCTTTGCTAAATGGAATGGGTGAACAAGGGAACCGCCCTGTGATCCCTGGGGCACGAATTTTCGAACGATTGAACCAAAACCAAAACGAGATTCTAACAGCAATGGTGAATCCAATTTTTCAGTGAGCCTTTATCTAAAATGCAGTCATATAGTTTGATGTTGCACATAGATTTGCTCCGGCAAATCCTTCTATTATCATGCCTGTTGATTAAGGTAATTTTTCCGCGTTAAAATCTACAGCTTAAGAATGCCCTATTGTTATTCCCCAAGGATCTGGGCTTTGCTGATATTGGTATGTTAGCCTACTTCAAGAGACAAAAGCCCCTAGCATATATGCACATTTTCTTTACTAATTTAACCTTTATCTTGGATGGTTGAAAAGATGGATAACTTACTTGTGTTGTCATGATATGAATGTATATATACGCTGCATAATTCAGGTTGCTTTTGGTTTTAGGTCAGGTTTTCATATTCAAGCTCAACTGTGGGGATTCAAAAGTGACTTTTGTGTTTCTTTCTTTATTTTCAATAATATTTTTGGGCGTGGTTATTGATTATCATTGTCCTTTGAACCAAATTGTGCATTTAAACTGTGCTTTAACAAGAAGAATAGTTTTATGCTAACAGACTCACAGACATTTGAGATAGAATCAAGGATATGAACCTGTGAATAAACCAAAAACAATTGAAAAATAAACCCAAAAAAAAAAAAAGAATATGAACCTGTGGATTATCTCAATTGCTTCTTTTGGAGTTTAGACTTAAACGAGGCGGATGGAAGAATTGACTGTGATAGAGTGGGAATGAAGTCCAATCCCTCATTGGACGAGGCAGAAGAGAGGAGATAATACCATAGAAGAGTTTCTGAATTCTGAGGAAGTGAGGAGGGCTTACACAAAAAGAGATGAGAAAACATTAAGGATCGCATGCTCAAATAAAAATTAGGCATACATTTATTTCCTCAATTAATGCTTCCACATCCATTTGCGTTTCAATTGCCAAATTCACTTTTCATTGTTTTTCAATGTACTTTTAAAAAGTCAAATTGATATATTTATAAAATATTCAAACAATATTTAACATTTGAAAAGTAAAAAAACACTTTCCAAATGCTAAAATGCTAAATCCAAATGGCCTATTTTAGTATTTGGAAAGTGCTTTCCCTTGTCTTTTCTCGAGAATTCGAAAAGCACCAAATCTAAGAGGCTCGTTTGGATTTGGCACTTTTAGCAAAATGTGAGATTTTGTTTGGATACTTTGAAAATATGCAAGTTGATTTTTTAAAAGTATATTGAAAAAATAATGGGAAATGGATTTAGGCAACAAGCTTGAGGGGTACTTTTTGAGATGTAAATGAAATGTTCGAACATCTATCAAGAGAATAAATATATATTTAATTTTTATTTGACCATGCTACTCTCATTTCTCTCATCTCTCTTTGTGCAAATCCCCTCTTCACTTCTTCATAAATTCTCTACGGTGTCTCGTCTCGTGTCTCCCTCTCTTCTTTCTTGTCGGGTGACATATCGGATTTCATTCCTACTCCATCACAATTAGTTTTTCCATTTGCCTCTTCTTGAAGGTCTTTGTCTATTTTCTTTTTCAACTTCATAATTTTATCTCCCACCACTTTTTAGTCATATTCAAAAAAGTTGTCTCAACAATAAAACAGTCTTGCCAAATGACTGATGCTTATTTATTATTTTATTCACATGTCTTAAACCTTTTTTTTTTTTAAATTTTGTTTGAGAAGGTTCCCTACACAATAGTGGTAATTCCTATGTCAATTGATGTCTCGATATTTTAATTGAAAGATAAACATTTTTGTAATGAAGTTTTGTAAGATTTTGCACAAGTTCATTAGTGGTGAAATGTTAAAACCACTGCAACTATATAAATGAGAACTTACGTTTCAGAAATACTGACAATACTTTCTATCCCTTTAGGTCTTTCCACGTGCTGCTGTCGATGAGCAACTTGTTAACTAATTTAATAATTTAGCAAGACCATATTTTGAGGATCATGTAAGTACTCATTTCACCGATCATTAAATTGACATAATTATGTCATTGTGAGTAATGTGCATCTGAAAGAGCTGTAGAAGCGCCACACCTGAGTCCTGAATGCTAATGCTTTTACCAATGTTCTCACAAACACGCACTTGTTAGATTACTCAAGCCTGATTTGTTACATTATTCAAGCTTCCGATGTCTATATTTAGAAACTCATCTCAGTGAACAACACGGGGGGAAAAAGGCGAACTCTTGAATTGAAGTTGCATAAGCTTTCGTAAAAGTCGACATACTTGATTGGTTTATCAAGTATAAGTTATAATTATATTTACATTTAAGTATTGTAAGATTTTAATTTGTGAGGGGAGCCGCTAGGGGAAAAATTATATGTAAATTTTACAACTTTACATTCTTTACTTTTGATATTTTACATTTCTAGGATTGGATAAAAGTATTTAAACTTAAAAGCTTATTAAATATGTAATATTTTAATGATTGAGATAATATATAAAAAATATGTTTACATAAAAAGCCATATCAACTATTTAATATAATTTTCTAAAAAAAATAATGATCATTCAATTTATGTTAAAGTATATTTTTAATCTTTTAATTTTACATGATGTTTCATTTTAATTCTTTAATTTTATAAAGTGTTTATTAGTCCTTTAATGCTAATGTAGTTAGTTTTATAAAAAAAATTTACATTAAAATTTTAAATATTGATAAAGTATCCTTATAATTTTTTTTAAAAATAACCATTATTGAGAAAAATAATCATTTAAAACTAATGTTATTAGGATTAGAGGATTCAAAATATATTTTATAAAATTAAGTGATTAAATTAAAATTTTATATAAAATTTAAAAAATTAAAAATATAATTTAGCCTTTTATTTATGTTATTATGATTTTAATCTTACTGATAGAATTATTATTTTTAATTATTAAATTATTATTTTTTAAAAAATTATTTTTTATATTTAATTATTATATAATTGATTTTACTTAGTTAGATAATAGTCCAATTTTTAAAAGATTAAATTAATTCGTCGACAAAATTTTTTAATAAATAAGTTAAAAATATTGATTAAAAATTATTATAAATCTAATACTTTTAATTATAAATAAATATTTAAGTATTAAATATAAATTTTAATTATAATATAAATTTTTATTTATAATTATTTAAATTAATATTTATAATTTATTTTATAAAATTTTTTATCAGTAACCAAACTATCATTAATTTATTTATTTGGAACCACACTGTTATTCTTCCTTATTCATGGTCTGACGTGTCTAAGAAAGCTCTTTTTTTTTTTTTTTTCCCTTCGTTTTAAATAATGTGTGCGGGCTGTAAGCAGCGTAATTGCCACTTGTTATATAATATAAAAAAATATTCAAAAAATTTGAAATCACTGAAGGCGCGGCAAAACGGACCTAAATCAACCTTTTCCCGTTGGCTAACAACTTTTCTCTCTCCATTTTTTGTTGCCCTTTATTTTGTCCTAATCTCTCAGATCGATGTCATTTTTCTGATCAATCAAAAGCAAAACGAAATCGCATCCCAATTTACTTACCATTCTTCCATCTCGGGTGACTTGCATTCTCTTCTAGAACCTGTATCACTTCTTTCTTCGTTCTTCCTTCTCATTGCCGGTGTTTGAGTACGCGCGGGTGACCTTTCCTCCGTCGTTGCTGCTGATCGTCTGGGGCTCGTGAGTTCTTCTTCTTCTTCTTCTTCTTCTTCTTCTTCTTCCTGTTCTGCAGTCGCTGCTGCGTGTGTTGTAGGTACGGTTTCGCTTATTTCTTTTCCTTCTCGTTGCTACTCACCCACTGCTGTTGTAAGAGAGCGGAAACGAACCTTCTCTTCTTCGTTGCTGTGAGAGATTTTTTGGTTCAGTAGCTTGCTATTGTTTCTTCCTCCATGTTAGGTATGCCCAAATTCTTTTCTTTCCCTTGTGGTTGCTGCTGGTTGGGAAAAAAATGAAACGAGCTAGAGTGTGATCTGATGGGAATTATTAGACTGAGAAATTTACTCATACGACAGAGGAGAAGTCAAGGTTCTGTTTTGCTTCTTTTTTTTTTTTTCAAAAAAACCTTGTTAAGAAAATTGAACATGAAAACTTTGAAAAGATTGTTTTGATGCTTGGAAAGATATTTTTGGTAGTTTGTGAATTGAGATGTTCATTTTATGATTCAATTTTTGAATGCATACAAGATGTTTGATGCAATGTGTAAGGAAGAAAATTTATTGAATTGAGCATTCAAGTGTGATTATTGTGCTAATGATTAAAAACGAAGCTAATTAATTGATTTATTTGAAATCTAGGAGACTTGAAGTTGTTTAAAATTGAATATGAAATTATAGGAGGCAAACAGTATAAAGTTTGGAAATGGAATAGGGAGTTATTGGAAAGGCATTTGGTTGTTAATTCAACGACTATATTTGTTTTCATGTTAGCTTTTGAGATGTATCAAGTTTTTGACAAAATGTTTGAGAAAATAAGTTTTTAGAATCAAAATTAGTGGCTAACCAGCATGGTTTCGTTACAACCTTGGTCTTATTTTGCATTGAGTATTATTTAACCTCCGTATTGGTTTATAAGTATTGGATATGTTCCTAAAGTTTCATTAAGGTCTTGGTAAAAGGTTATGTTATTTAGATTATATTGTTAAATATTGGTCATCTTGGTTAGGTATTCGTTCTCTTAAAATTTCCTTGTGAATAGACCTTGTGAATATCAAAAGATGTTTCTAAGTTGTTGATGTTGCTCTTGTGATGGCCATCTCTTGACTGACTCCTGCCATGTCTGAATCTTAATTCATGTTATGGTATTGTGCGAAAATCAAGTCCATCGGGAAATTTGCTGTACAATTATTTTCAAATTGAATGTAGTGCTTCCTTTCACACATTTTGTAATTGTAATGAGTATGTTTTTACTGGTGTTCATGTTTGCCTATCCTTCCTTGAGAGACTGTAATTTTAGGGGCGATAGTGTTTCCTTTCTTATAGGTCTTTATAGTGACGATCGTGATTGGAATAAATTCAACGGTGTGACTATTTGACGTTGCATTTGCATGAGAAAATTGTCTCTGTTTTAAAATATTGGTGCTGATTTATGCCCCTAAAATTGATTATATTTTCATGCTCTTTCATATGAAATTAAAATGCGGCACACTTGTCTTTGGTTTTGAGCATCTTGAGTTGTCATATATCATGGATTTCCATGCCAAAAAACTTGGTTTATCGTGCTGCATGATCTGTATTGGTTTGACCTTGACAAATTGAGTGTTGAGATAGGTTAGTAGAAAATTTATGTATAGAGGAGGATTTGCTTTGATTGAAATATCATTATAGATAGTGTTTAATTTATATCACCGTATTATTACTTGTAAACTAGGTTGATTACTTATTTTTATTTCTAAAACATGAATCTCTGTTGCTTAAAAGCACCTCAGACTAAAAGAAGCTTTAGCAACTATTTGGAAATAGATTTGAAAGTGAGATTTAGCAAATATTTGGCTATATTTGAAATCGAGTTATTTGGTAAGTATTTTAAAACACTGCGCTGGTAACTGTGAGCCAAAAGTCACGCTTGTTTTTGTGGCTTTAAGCCGCGTCAGATTTGTTACATACTCTTGTGGATTATGCATCTATGTTGGTTATTTGTGGCCTACTTGTTGCTGGCACTAACATTGTTTTAGTCTCTTGTTAATTTCGTTGTTTTCTTTTTAATTTGATTTTGGGAATTTGGTGGGATGGTAATGAGATATTGTGCAATGTAGAGCTTGGAATTAGAATCTAGGAGAATTCTTTACATCAGAAGGGGTTGGATTTCTTGTCAAAGATTTGATTCAATGAATCTTGATTGATGTTTTGTTGGTAAATAGTAGGAGAAGCTGATTTCTTTCAATGGAGAAATACGAGAAGTTGGAGAAGGTCGGGGAAGGGACATATGGGAAGGTTTACAAGGCAAAGGAGAAGGCCAGCGGGCAGCTGGTGGCTCTGAAGAAGACGCGGCTGGAAATGGACGAGGAGGGAATTCCTCCTACTGCTCTTCGAGAAATCTCCCTCCTTCAGATGCTCTCACAGTCCCTCTACATTGTCCGCCTGCTCTGTGTCGAGCATGTTGACAAGGCCTCGAAGACTGTGGCTGCTGGTTGCCAGCCTAGTACCAAGCCCCTCCTCTACTTGGTCTTCGAGTACCTGGACACTGACCTAAAGAAATACATAGATTCTCACCGCAAGGGCCCGAACCCCAGGCCTCTTGCTCCTTCCCTTATTCAGAGCTTCCTTTTCCAGCTGTGCAAGGGTGTTGCTCACTGCCATAGCCACGGGGTCCTCCACCGTGACCTCAAACCCCAGAATCTTCTTCTCGACCAGCAGAAGGGGATCCTCAAGATTGCTGACCTTGGTCTTGGACGAGCCTTCACTGTTCCTCTTAAGAGCTACACGCATGAGATTGTCACCCTTTGGTATAGAGCACCTGAGGTTCTGCTGGGATCCACTCACTACTCCACTGGGGTTGACATGTGGTCCGTTGGATGCATTTTTGGTGCGTGCATTGCATACACATCTCCTTTTACTTGATCTCCTCCAACAAATGTTTATGTTGCCAATTATCGTCAATTTGTTACTTTATATAGCTTTCACCTAACTGAATTTGGTTTTGTAGCTGAAATGGTGAGAAGGCAAGCCTTGTTTCCCGGGGATTCTGAGTTCCAACAACTCCTTAATATATTCAGGTTGAATATCACTCGATATACTGACGCTGTAATTTTCAGACCAAGACCACGTGGCATGCTTATTTTTCAAGCAAAAATTTTGACTTAGTTTTTACTTTTAACAATTCTTCTCTTATAGCCAGTATTACTTATTGCAATCTATCACACGTGACTCTTATTGTCATTGCAATATTAAGGTTGGTTCCTGCTTTCTAAAATCTAACTTTAACATTGACTTCATTTTTATTTTTGGTCCCTGAAGGTTGTTGGGTACGCCAACTGAGGAACAGTGGCCAGGGGTTACTTCTTTGAGGGACTGGCATGTCTACCCGCGGTGGGAACCACAGAACTTGGCACGAGCTGTTCCATCTTTGGGACCTGAAGGAGTAGATCTTCTCTCGGTTAGTATCTTGTTGTCAACTCCATATTTTTGAGTATTATATTTTAAGCTTTTAAGGAGCAAATTATTATCAGGAAAACAATTTCTATTAATAAAAAAGAAACTTGCAGTCTTAATTACTTTGTTTTGGATCAGGACAAATATCTGGAGCCAACATGTATGGAAAAACTATTCTATAGTCAAGCATTAGACATCTTGAATTCAAGCATGCCATTCTATTTTGATACATATTATGTGACCGTTCTGCAAGATAAAGTTATATGAGAAGCAGTACAAAAACACACTCAACTAATATTGATTAAGCTAAATACTTATTTGTTACGCCTAGATTTTCGAATACTCTATGGACTTTAATGGAAAAATCTTTTAGTCATATGTTTGAATGAAGATCTCATTTCTTCCTATTGGCTTCTTTTTCTCTTTCATATTTGAATATGCGTATAGGAGAACCAACGAAAATAGGTAAATTAAAAAAATTGTCACCTTCGGAAAACAAGATCCCAAAATGGAAAAGATTTTAGATGTTTTATTTCTTTTCTCATCGTGATATTTTTTTTGGGTTCAATCATAAGCAGGGCAATAATCACTGTGATGTATTTTTATTTTTGGTATAGAATCATAGTAGCATTAAGGGGTGATATGAAATTATATGCTCTGAATTATTCTATCAAGTCCTTTAACATGACATCTTGACTCTCCAAACTACATATCAGGTTCATTGTAACTTGAATTTTTTTTTTTAACATTCATTTTAAGTCATTTCACTCCACATTTTTTTAAATATATATTTCTGAAAAAACTTAGCGGGGCTAATTGCATCTGATATTGGGGTCCTGCAGAAAATGCTCCAGTATAACCCTGCTGAGAGAATCTCTGCAAAGGCAGCACTTGATCATCCCTACTTTGATAGCCTGGACAAGTCTCAATTTTAATCACATGCTTGCCCACTTGTCACAAATTTGTCTGCAGATGTCTGTGTTTGATGATCTATGTAGTCTAAGGATCTATTAAATCGATTGGGTAAACTGTAAAATCGTTTGTCATCATCTTGGTGATCTGGCTGTACAATTCAATGTAAGTTTCCTTGGAATCCTCCCTTTCATGGAGTTGCGAGTGGTATCGCCTTTTGGGCCTCTTCATGTCTTCATGCATGAACAATCACTCTGGAATCTTGTTCACCATGAAATTTTATTATTTGCTTAAGCTATAGTTTTATATAACCCCACTATTAACCATGTGAATGCTTTGTTATTCGCTAAACACAATGCTTGCATTTTAAGGAGAGCTTCCTATTATCACTAAACACAATGTCCCAGTCACTAGACCTGATATTAGAGATTTATCAACACTATATGTGAGGATAAGATACAGTGATATTTCACTTTGAATTACTTCTCCATAATTGGGCCTCTTCATGTCTTCATGCATGAACAATCACTCTGGAATCTTGTTCACCATGAAATTTTATTATTTGCTTAAGCTATAGTTTTATATAACCCCACTATTAACCATGTGAATGCTTTGTTATTCGCTAAACACAATGCTTGCATTTTAAGGAGAGCTTCCTATTGTACTAAACACAATGTTCCAGTCACTAGACCTGATATTAGAGATCTTATCAACACTATATGTGAGGATAAGATACAGTGATATTTCACTTTGAATTACTTCTCCATAAAAACTAATGCAATGTTCTGTAGGTAAAAAGGTATTTTTCAGAAAGGAAACTGTTTAATGCATCTACTATTGTGTGTACCAAACAAGTACTAATGGGTGTTTGATTAATGGAGATTTGAATTTGGGTCAAATTTTTTATTTGGATACATAATTTATGAAATTTTAAGAATAAAGGTAAACATATCATTTTAATTTTTTTTTGTTTTGAATATCAATTTATCTTTTTGAGAAAATTAATTTTTTAGTTCTCAATTTTTAATTCACTTGTAACTCAATCCCTCAATTATAACTCAATCCTTTAATTATGACTTGCTGTAATTCAGTCTTTTAACTTTTGTCTCACTTATAACTTGGTCCTTATTTTTTAATTTTTTTTTAAATTTTTTTATTAAATAAAAGGAATAAAAGAAATGTTCATATTTTGTTTTAAAATACCCTCTTTTTGTTCTTTGATGTGGGATCTAAATTAACATAAAAAAAATAGAGCTTACAAAGGTAGAGGGATTAGATTAAAAGTGAGTTAAAAGTTGAGTAATTGAGTCATAAGCAAGTTATAATTGAGAAATTGAATTATAGTGAGTTATAATTAAATGATTGAATTACAAATAAGTTAAAAGTTGAAAGATTAAAAGATTAATTTTTCCTATCTTTTTTCTTTATGTAAAATGTTTTAAATTATTTGAACATAAGATTTTAAATATATGAACTTTAAATGTGAGATTTAAAATAGTAGATTATAAATATAAAATCCAAATCAAAATTTGCCAATTCAAACATTACTTAAGAGTTTTATTGGTTGGACAGCTTGAAAGATTTCACTAGTGACACTAATTTTATGATCATTGGTTGATAATCCTCATGAACACTTCTGCTCATTGATGTGTAATGGGAGCCAATTTCCAATTAGTCCCAAAAAAAAAAAAAAATCCAATCCAATCACATCTATGCTAAGCGAAGCAATTCCCTCAAAACACATTTTCTTCTTTATAAGCAGTAAGATTAAAATGAGGCATTTAGTTTTTCTCCAATACAAAACCCTCCTTTATGCCTCCAATGCGACCAAAACGGAGTCCTTTAAATAATGAGATTTCAGTTTACGGTATGGAAATTTGCTGCATTCTTTTGTGGGAATAAACATGGATATATTGCTAATTAACAAAAACATAGTTAGCCTTTCAGAATAAACATGGAATTTGCTTCATTATAAATAACAAAAAAACAGAACAGAATTACAAACAAGTCCCTTTGGTCACCAATTCATTCACTACCTTACAATAAGAAGGGGTGGATGATCAAAAACTCAGACTGGGTAGTCCAAATCATGAGACAGTCTCATTAAAATATTAGCACATTCACATACTTTTCAAGACATAAAATAGAAAATAAAAGACCATTTTCTTTGGATTAATCTACTAACATTTAAAGCCATCAATATGGGCTCGGCCCTTTTAAGCCCCAATAAATAAGAGTCGGGTCACTATTTTAATTTTTAAAAAGGTAAATCAGGCTTAAAAAGGGCTAGCCCTGAAGCCCTAATATATTTTTTTTTGAAAAAAAACAACATAAAAAATAAAAAAAAGACACCACATCATTCAAGCTTAGCACTCACTCTCTAATCCAGACAATAGATGCACACATTATTATTTGCTTACTTGAAATATTTTTACATTTTTAAATACCTTAAAATTATGATTTTGGTTTATTGTTTATTACAAATAATGAGGATGAAAAGGAAGATATGAAAAGCTTAACATATTTGCCATTGATGAGGATTCACAAGGAGAAGGATCAAATTATATTGATGTTGATAATGATGAAAATCATCAAAATTTAATTGATGATGCTACCAATGTGTAATTGATGTTGGAGTTAATTTTAGAATTTTTTTTATCAGACTTAAAATTTTTGTTGTGTGAATTAATTTTTTTATTTTCTTAAACTTAATGTGATGATAATAATTTTGTTAAGATTTTAAATATTTTTTTAATTTTAACATGAAAATTTTAAAAAATAATTAGGGCTGAGACTCTGAAGACTAAGATCATGCTGCTAAAAATAAAGCCTTAGATTATAATTAAGTTTTTAAAAAAATCAACCCGTTTAAATTTTAATTCTTAAAGGACTGGCATTAATTGATATCTCTACTGGCATCCATGATAACATGCTGTCTCAAAGGGTTAGGTTCCGTGCTTCAACGCAGTCACTGTTCACTTTGACTTTCCCGTGCCATGGGCTTCCGCATTAATGGCAGTGAGACATGATTTCAATTGACGGCAAAGGCCCAACAAATTTGCTGCATTTCAGGTATGACAAGTAAGGCTCCTCCAATCAAACCCTTGTTAATTCTAATTCACCATGAACAAAATTGGTCATTGAATTAGAGTACCAAAACTAAAACACAGATGGTGTGTAGTATAAATTATGAAAAAAAATATATATTTTAAGTTTTTAATATGCAAATGATAATAAATTAACAAAATAGGTCAAGTTGTCATTTTAATTATACTCATTAAAATCTCACATCTCCTCCATTTCTCTCTAATCAAATTGAGATCTTGAAGAATCTAGTTGACTTGATTGCATGAATCAACCAAATTTTTTAGCTATTTATTATGAAACTTTTCAATTGAATTTGGTTGAGTTAGATTCAATCAAATTTTGTCCAATTTCAAAACTAACTATTTAATGATTTTTTTTTTGCCGACAACTATTAATGATTAAAACTTTAAATGAATTCACCAATAAATCATACAAAAAAAAAATATAAGATTAAGACTTGGGGTTTTCCTTCTGAAAGAAATTAAAATTTATTACCTTCATAAGAAATTCACCAATAATTTATATTAGGAAACAAGATACTTAACCTAACATATTTAATATATTTTTATTTAATTAAATTATAGTTTTAAAATACTAATGACTTTAATAATAAGAATTTTTTTATAGAATAAATAATTTATAAAAAAATTTTACATGTTTAATTTGATTTAAAACTAGCATCTTAATATGAGTTTTCTCCTTTATTATATATTAAAAAAAAGGCTAAATAAGAACTTGGCCACTTGGACTTTATCTAAGAAATATAGTAAATATTTGGGATATGAAAAGAAGATATTAGAATGGCTTGATATAATACAAGTTGAATTCAATTAAAAGTTGGTTCAAGCTAGTAATCTCGTATCTTCTCATGTCTCTCAATCTTTTGAAATTGTTATCCGAGGTTTACTTAGTTCTATAGTGACTGGCAATAAATAAAATGGGTTGTAACTTGTAGAAGAATTGTGTGGGCTGAAATGGAAAGATATCTTGGATGGTCCACATTCCTCCCTCCAACCCTTTTTATTAATTAATTAATTTTATTAAATTTGTCCGCCATTAATTTTAAATTATTTTTTAAATTTATTAAATATTATGTTTATCAAAATAAAAATATACCAAAATTATTAAAAAAATTAAATAATAAATATAAATTATTTTTTATGCTTAGTAGAGGATGAATATCATGATACTCATCATCTTTAATGAGATTTGGATAATTCGATTTAAGCTTTTAATTTTTATTTTATATTTATTAAAAAAAATAAATCTATTTATTGCTAATTCCTGAATAACCTAATTTAATATTAATTTTTTAATAATTTTCATAATTAATTATTTAGATATACTTTAAAGAGTATATAAATAAGCTATAAAATCTAATTTAATATAATTTTTATAAATTAATCATCTAGATATATCTAGGTAGTTTAAGTTTAATATTAAAATTTTAAAATTTTTATATATTTTTATTTTGATAATATTATATTTAAAAAAAATTAAAACGAAGGCAGAGATCATTTGAGGTGAACTGAACGGCCAGGATCACTATATGGGGTGATAAGCACCTAATGTATTTGATTTGGCGTGAATTTTTTTCTGGTCAAAAGATATTTAATTAACATTCATGAGAAATGTTTACAAACGAAGTATCTGGCGTGAATATATGATGTCTAGTGTGTGAGACCTATAGTAAAAAAATAAATAATGAATAAGAGAGTTGCAATAAAAAGAGAGCGCCTGAACCTACAATAAAATTACAATTTTTAATTTACATAAATAAGAAATTGTTTAATTTTTAATATATATGGGTATCCACATATCTCAAATAATTTATGTAAGAGCAAAATAAATCGTTATTGATATTCATAATAGAATTAAGGTATATTTTAAAAACAAAGTTGTTCTAAAAATATGTTTTATTATGTGTTTGGGTCAAGGCAAATGGAAAGAAGGTAATTAAGACTTAAATGGGTTGATTGAAAATAAAATCGAGAATTAAGTTGAAATTTTAATTGCTTTTTCTTATTCTTCCTATTTCTATTAGTTTATGAATTTACTTGTTAATTTTAATTTTTTAATTGAACTAATTTAAATCTCACATCATCTTTATTCTCTTTGATTTCTCTAAATAGATGATGGATTAACATTCCCATGAGCATCAAAATAGTTATAAAATCTAGTTGATTTTGATATCATGAAATCAAAAAAATTTTTCAGTCAGTTGTTAAGAATCTTTTCAATTGAATTTGGTACTCAATCAGTTTTGTTCAATACCAAAACTAAATCATAATAAACATTTAACAATAACAGAAATCATGCAAAAAAGTTAGGAGCAATTCATATACATAGAGAGAGATACAATATATACATATATATATATATAAACACATATATTTAGGCAAGTATCTTTTAATTTTTAAACTACGTAGAAAGAACATTATTCTTGGAATAAAATAAAAAATATATTCCTTCCAGAATTTAATTTTGAAAATTTTTTTGATTCTTAATAAAATAAATTAAAATAATTATTTTTTATATTTTATATTTTATTTATTTATTATATTTTAATTTTTAGAAAATAATTTATTATTATACATTATAAATAATGATAAATTTGAAATAATGGAGTACTCTTCTTTAACCATTTTAAGAATATAATTCATATTTCTTAAGAAAAAAGATAGTTAGGTTTTAGAACAGTGAATTAATGAAAGTTACATTATTAACAAAATTTTTATAAAATAAATTATAAATATCAATTTAAATAATTATAAATAAAATTTTTATTTTAATATAAAAATTATATTTAATACTTAAATATTTAGTTATAATCAAGACTCTAGAATTTATAATCATTTGGATCAATATTTTTAATTAATTTTTCAAAAAAAAATTAAAAGCTTAACTGTCTTTAATTCAAAGTTTTAAGATCATTTTCTCTATTTATTATATTCAATCTGTTTGGACCGACAATATAATTGATTTTTGGAGCCAAATAATCAAGTTTTGAAAAATTACCCAAACAATATAAAAGTATAATAATTAATTATTAAACCAGAATCACGTTTTAAAATAAATTTGAGAAATTTTTTATTAATTTAATTTTACTATCAAATAATATATTTTACTTCTTAAATAAAATTTAAAAAATTTAATAATATTAAATACAACTTTATCAATAATTTAATTTTAAAAACAATATTTTTATGATAATTTATATAATTAAAATTAATTTTAGTATTTAAATAAATTGTACGATAAATATAATCAATTATAATTAAAATTAATTATATTAATTATATATAATTATAATTAATATCTAACTAAAATTCAAACCAGCTCATTAATTTTGTTTTCAACGTAATTCATTCTCTTATTATAAAAGTGAGAAAAGAAGTAGTAGTAAACTTGAAGAAATGGTATGACACGTGGAAGTGAGCGGGTAGTTCGTTGAGGCAAAAGAAGTGGCGGGACTTCGCTTCCCGAAAACTAACGCACTTCTCTCTGCTTCTGCGGCATTCCTATGAGCCCGCAAATCACATCTCTCTCTCTTTCTCTCTGCGCATTAATTTCTGGAAATATGGAAATATTATTCTGCGCAGAAAATCAAAATCAGAAAGATTTTATTTTGTTTTCTTTTCATGATTCTTCATGTGAAAACCCAAATTCCTTGGATCGTCACGAGAAAGCTGGAACCACCAACCGCTACTGAATCCTCCTCATGTCACTCATCAATGCCTTCCCTTTCCTCTCACTTGTGAATTGCTGATTAATACTTTCCTTCAATCTATGGATTCCTCTTCCTTCATCCTTCTCTGTAATTAAGCTTTCTCTTTTACTTTTCGATTCTCTCTTATTTTCGTCTTCTTGGATTTCGCTTCCTTGTATTGTTGTCGATTTGTAATTCTGGATTTCTTGTTGCAGACATTTTCAGTGGAGTTTCGATTTTGGGGTAGCTGTTTTGCCTGGATTCGAAAGCTGAAGTGTTTTAACTTTCGTTCTCGTTTCTTCCTCTCTTATCCTCTTCTCTTCTTTTCGATTTTTCGCCCTTGAATCTCTTTATCTGAGAGATGAAGGACGCGGAGAAAAAGAAGTACCCCATTGGCCCTGAGCATTATGAACTGCTCGAGGAGATTGGCCAGGGGGTAAGTGCTCATGTGCACCGTGCTCGTTGCATTCCTTTTAATGAGATCATTGCCATAAAAATCCTAGATTTTGAGCGAGAAAACTGCGATCTGGTAATTCTCTTTCACCCCTGTCTTGGCTCTTCTTTATCCATTCAATGCGCTGAAATGCCATTAGTAATTATGGTTGTCATGATGTGTGCCTCAATTATTCATTTACTTTCTTTTGTTATATGTTTCTGGCATTGGTGTGACGGATCCTTTTTTCAACGAATACATAGATATCTATGAAGGGTTGGATAGTGATTCCGGAGACACCGATACTGCATTTTTTTTTTTTGGTGCGCAAAATTTACATGTTGAGATTGCTATCTCTCGTTTAGGTGGTTTTTACTTTATGGCCTTCCGGTGCAACTTGCTAGTAAGGTAAAATGGATTGGTGAGAGTATCTCGTGGTTCTTGATCACAATTCACCAATAAAACTTTTGATCCCGAGCGAGTCAGTGCTTGGACCAACTTGCATGCATACCTTATTATCCAACCTGTTCAACTTTTTGAATTACATAGAAGTATGCACGATATCAAAATAGGATCATGGGCATTCAACTTTCGCTTAGACTATTTCTCTCTTGTTTGGTTTGCCATGGGCCCAAGGCTAGGCCAATGACCTTTATTTATTTATTTATTTTTTGGGCCAACCATTAGCATAGTACGGGGAGGGCCTTCACTTTTTTGACCTGGATACAAAGAAAGTTGATTTTTAATTGATGGAGTCACAGAATTTTTCTTTTCTTTTTTCTTTTTTTTTGGGGGGGGGGGGAGGGGGAGGATAAAATGCACCAAGGTGAATCTCGAAAAGCTTATCATTACTGCTATATAATACAGTGCAATGTATATTATACACTATTTAGTTACAAGATGACATGTGCATAATGGAATAAGCAGTACATAGGTATGACCATTATATGACAAAACAGCAGAATACATGTACAAGGAATTGATCCTCTACACAACATTTAAGATGATACTACCTCAACAGAATCAATCTGAACCTTTATATAGTCTCAACTGTTGGTAGAGTGGAGTTGCATTTGATTTATTTGATGCATGTACAATTTATTTCATAAATCTGTTGTCTATCCTCCTTATTAACTTTTAAACTGTCTTTGAAATGATACGTTCTCTCCTATGTTATGTGCCTTCTGCAGAATAATGTTTTTCGTGAAGCACAGACCATGACCTTGGTTGACCACCCTAACGTCCTAAAATCACACTGCTCCTTTGTTAGTGATCATAATCTGTGGGTTATCATGCCATATATGGCTGGTGGTTCATGTCTTCACATATTGAAAGCTGCCTACCCAGATGGTTTTGAGGAGGTTGTAATAGCTACAATATTGCGAGAGGTATTGAAGGGTTTAGAGTACCTTCATCATCATGGCCATATACATAGAGATGTTAAAGTGAGTATTAAAGTTGCAGTTTCATACCTTGTTTCAATTTATACCTTATAACATAGGCCAAAATGCACATGTTTTTTTCTTTTAGACCTTGAAATTAACCCCTCAAACTAGAGACTAAGCATAAATAACTTCCTGGCTTCAATGAATTCATTATTTTAATAATAAAAGTGTGACACATTGGAGGTTTATTTGTACAAAAAATAGAGTTTGTGGGTTTATTTAATTTGACATGTCACCCATCCGATAATAAATTAATTGATTCATTGATAGCAGGGGTTTTATAACATTGAAATTGAGCTTGGGGTCCATTTTAAAGCTTTGAAGGTCAAAAGAATTATATGCGTTCAACTAAAGTTCAGAAGCTATATATTATTCATGTGCTTTGTGGCCAATATTATATTTGTTTTAGGTTCATGCCTTTGACCAACTTGTATCTACTTCTATAGGCTGGGAACATTCTAATTGATGCCCGTGGTGCAATCAAGCTGGGAGATTTTGGTGTATCTGCTTGTCTTTTTGATTCAGGTGACAGGCAACGTACGAGGAATACATTTGTGGGGACACCTTGCTGGTATGATCAGAGTTTTTTGGGTTTTTATTTAGTAACGTTTCTGTTCTTTGATCTGTTGGTATCCAAAATGATTCTGTCGAACTGCTGGAACTTGATGCACTCTCAGATTATATCCATGGGTTTGCCAAATTTTTATGTAGTCAATATGTATATATGTGTGTGCGCGCGCGCACATAGAATCTCTTTTGTTATTTCCTCTTTTTCCATCTTATATAATGGCTTATCCGTGATCAAGAGTGTTGGAAATGAAGAGTATAATATTGTCGTTACAGGATGGCACCTGAGGTCATGGAGCAACTGCATGGTTATGATTTCAAGTCTGTGATTTTGATATGATTATATTTTCTACCTTTCTTGTCAGACGTCTTTTGATGGTAACATTCAATTGAAAATGGTGTTCTTCTTGTAATTGCAGAGCAGATATCTGGTCTTTTGGTATAACAGCATTGGAGCTTGCCCATGGTCACGCTCCTTTCTCAAAGTATCCTCCCATGAAGGTGTGGTTACTAAGACAGAAAATTGTCTCATTGAACCCTGAATGATGTTTTTAGGAATTTAACCTTCTACATGGTCAGGTACTTCTTATGACATTGCAAAATGCACCACCTGGCCTTGATTATGAACGTGATAAGAAGTTCTCTAAGGTCAGCTCACTTTGAATATATGCTAAAACTACTTCCTATGTTGATATTTTCAATAAAAGCTTGATCCTTGAACTCCTTTTTCTTCTTCTATCCTGAAATCTTTCTTCGTTGTTTCCAGTCATTTAAGCATATGATTGCGAGCTGCTTGGTAAAAGATCCTTCAAAACGACCCACTGCAAGCAAGTTGCTAAAGAATTCCTTTTTTAAGCAAGCTCGCTCAAATGATTACATTTTGCGAAGGATTTTGGAAGGGCTGCCTAATTTAGGTGATCGCATCCAGGCCCTAAAGGTTGCATATTGTTGAAAAATATTTTTTTCCTTCTTCCGATGATGTGTAATATATTTATAGGGCTATCATTCTATTGCAGAGGAAAGACGAAGATATGCTTGCAAAGGAACAAATGCCTGATGGGCAGAAGGAGGAAATATCACAGGTAGTGTCTGTGTTTGTGGGCTTGTATTATCATCAAGCATTCAAGCATATAACAAATTTCTTTTTTGTGTAGAACGAATACAAGCGAGGAATTAGTAGCTGGAACTTCAATCTTGATGATATGAAAGCTCAGGCTTCATTGGTACCCAAGCTGCCCTATCTTTTCTTTCACAATGAAGTTGTGGTACCTGAAGTTATATTAAATGTTATTTTTTATGTCTTTTAGATACAGGATTATGATGATGCAATATCTGAAATCAATCCGGGAGGGAGTTCGAGTTCTTTTTGTACAGTTGATGTACAAGAGAAGCAATCACCACGTGCAAACCATTCTCAAATTGCTGATATGGTATTCATAACTTCTTTTTCTATGCTGATGGAAAATGTTTATAGTATGCGATATTCATTTTTTCCCTTTCTTTCTTGTTATTCTCTTTTACCTTGTCAGGAGAATAATATTTTATTTCTAATTGGAAATGCTTCACAGGAAGATAACGAAGAGATGCGAAATCAGTCAGCTTCTGTACCTGCAGTGGATTTCACAACAACCAGTGCCAAGTATGATAATACATCCAATAAATTGTTTTTACGGAACTCATGTTGCAAGAACTTTTAAGAATATTGTGTTGAATCTATTAGCGGAAAAGACTCAAAAGGCTTGAAATTGAAAAGAGGCACTTGAATGAAGGACAAAATTTTATTGCACACTCAAATTGTAAGGGATAAATTAGCCCACTGATGCAAAAAAAAAAAAAAAAAATCTTGCACTTAGAAAATATGAACCAAATTTTTAAAAATTTGAGGATGTAGCCTGTTCATATTGATATTCAAGAGATTTATCATTAATATACAATATGTTTATTATTAAAAATTTAAAAATTTACAAAAAAATTTATCATTGACATATAACGGTATATCATTGACAAATATAATAAATTGATTATAATACAAAATATAATAAATGTTTGGTTGTTTATTTGGTTTGATCATATAACATGGGTTATATTTGCAAAAAACCCCATTATAAGATAGTCTAACTTACCAGCTTTTTCACACTTTTTCCTTTTTCACGCCACTCTTCTTTTTCTTCCTTCTCTTTCCTCTCTTCTGCCGCTCCTCTCTTCACCACCCCTCTCCGTTTTCTTTTCTTTTCTTTTTTGCCCCACACGTGGCTTTCTTGCCTCTTCATTGCACTAAATGCTTTATCTAGCATCTATTTATACCAGTTGAAGAAGTTGTCCAAAATGCTCCCCCTTGCCCAAGCTACATGCCCATTTCTTGGAGAGGAGGAAATAGAATGTATTTTCTCTCCAAATTGTTGTTGTTGTTGTTGTTGTTATATTTATTTTCTTTTTCTTTTCTTTTCTATCTTTTTTTAACTCAAAGTAATAATTAATTTTTTACATGGACATAGGCTGGAAATTTTGTGATGACTTTTAACATATTGTAGGCTTTTGTTTGTGCCTAAGTGTTTTTAATCAGCAAAGGGGCAAAGAACTTAATCATTTTGTTTTTCAATCCAGGGTTAGAAGTGAAAAATCTGATGACGACTCTATCACCAGTTCAAGCCATGAACACCACTTATCACGGAGTGCTTCACCGTGTCTAGAAGATCATGTGGTGGACCATAATTTGAGTGAAAAATGTGATATTGAGAATGGTGGAAGACAGGTGGAGCCTACTCATTCTTATCACAGAAGATGCTCATCAAGCATCTTACCTGAAGTTACTCACACGCCTACTCGTGGAGAAATGTAAATATTTCAACTAAATCTTTTCATTTTGTAAAATTGCATTAGATTGTTGCAATAATCATTGGCGTCATGGCTGAGCTGGACATTTCAGTGTTGATGTGTCAATCTCGCTCTACCTTGGCTTCATTTGCTCCTTATTCTGACTTGGCTGAACTGGATATCAGTGCAATACACCAGCTTAATGTTGTATAGAAAAAGTAGGGAAGAGGGAGACAGAAGGGGAAACAAGGGAGATAAAGAAAGAAGATAGAGATAGACGGGAGAGAGGGAGAGAGAAACAGAGAGTAAAGGAATTTGTACTCTACTCGTAAGGCTAATTACAACTTACCCCCAAATCCAATCCCCTCTATTTATAGCCTAATACCCCAAATCCCTAATTAACTAATCTTAGCCACCGGATGCCTCTGAACTAACCATTTCATTTATTACATAACACTTAAGTTAAAGAGTCTGGGCCGGTTTATCTTTCTTCTTTTCATTGGATGTGTCAGTACCTAAGAAAGATATAGTCAATTCATTCGTACTTCAAAACCTTACACTAATTCAGTACTGCAAACATGGCTATATTTTATGCTGCTCAATTTGGTGTTTATTGCCACTTCATGTTTTCAGCTCATTGCTATATTTTCAGAATACAATCAGGGAAAGGAGTATGTATCTTAGATTTCCGAATTAATAAATAAGATTACCATGTCCAATTATGATTAGTTATTACTTCATTTTGGCTTCTTAAATTTACAAATAGCTTGCAAAAAATAAAGAGTCAAATCTTCATCGTGATTGGTTTTGTGCATCATCGGTAGCATACTTCTGTGTTTTAGGTGTCAGGTAGTTATTATATATTACTGATGTTGAGAAGGAAATTTGATGCAATTCAATGTAATTGAGTTTGAAAGAAAAAGAACTTTTTCATAAATATATAGTCATTTTTTCTTATATGTAATTTCATCTGTAGAATTCCATATAAATGTAGAACATATTTTACCTACTTCAAAAATTTGGGAAACGGTTCCTTATGCAGTATGTTAGTGGCATTTGACCGTCGTATGTTGAATAAGTGGTGTTTCCATTGATTTTACAGGTGAGAATTGACTATAATCATTTATATTATGTTATTCATGCTTATTTACTGGATAAATGACAGAGAGAAGATGCCACATCTGTCCCATAGCGTTTCAAATTGCAATGCAACAACAGTACCACTGTCAGGAGAAGGTACATGATCATATTACTCCAGTAGTTACGTCTTGATTGTCAAGCTCAAGGGAGTTTCAAACCATTTTCCCTTTCTTATTGTCTATAACTGGCTCAGCTCATGTGTGTATGACTCCTGTGTCTTCTTAATGATTGACCTGTCCATGCAGTAGCATAACTAAATCTTTTTATATATATATTTTTTATTTTTTGGTAATATTTAGCAGCTAATTTGGATGACACTGATGAGAAAGTAAAGGTACCAGTGGTACAGCAGAGAGGACGTTTTAAGGTTACATCTGAGAATGTTGAGTTAGAAAAGGTGAATATTAACTCTGATGTAGAAAACGCGACTTTCCTTAAGACAGAATAATAAGTGAAGTTTTCTTTCAGGTGGGCCCAACTCCTATTCTGCAAAAGAGTCAAAGCATGCAGGTTAGTTTTTTGAGTAATCAAAACAGGCCGTTTTGATACCTCAATTGCCATGTCCTCTTGGTCAAGCTTGTCCGAAAGTTGTGCTAAATGTATATAAACATATTATTGGATCCTCATCAACATCTAATTCACTAACCTCCTACAGCTTTATAGGAAAAACGCATACTCTCCCACTAGGATAAAATTGGGAGAATGATAAAGAGGTCTTAAAAGGATCATTTAATTTAAGTTAGATCTTAAGTGCTAAACTCTAGAAATTTACAACTCAATCTCTCAATTTTGCAACTGTGTTGTGATGAATTTGTAACTTTTTTTTTCAAATTTTAACATGGTTAAAGAATAAAAAAAATTATTTTTTCTGTTAAAATTTGGAATATAAGTTGCAAATTTATCACAACGCAATTGTAAAATTGAGAGATTAAGTTGCAAATTCTTGAAATTTGGCATTTGAGACCTAATTTAAATTAATTGATCCTTTTGGGACCTTTCTATCATTCTCTCGGATAAAATTACTAAAGGAGTAAATCTTTTCAATTTACATTTTGCTTAGGCAATGATGGAGTCTGATTTGCAACTTATGTTTCTACCAACATGAGTAAAACCTCCTTTTTAATTACTATGAAATTGAATTAACATCATATACCAATATTAATAAGTAGTATGGCTTCTAATTTACCGAACATCTTAGTTCTTTTGGTAACCTGGTTCCTGTAGGTTATTAGCTCTCACAATGTAACTCCTCTACCTTCAATTTTACCACTGCCACCGACATCTGAGGCTGCCTCATCAAATCCTTCTGGTTCTTCGCTTTACCAGTTATTGCATTGTGCGTTGCAAGCAAATATTGAACAAAGGGTATGCTCAATCAAATTCATATGGTCATCATGACTCCTTCGGCTAGTATCCATAAATAACTGTCTTTGTAAATTTGTCAAATAACAGGACACCATCTTACTTTTAATGAAACATGTAGTTGCTGGTGATCCTACAGGTTCCTTCTATTTGAATTTTGTTCGACTTTTCCCTTTGTAAAGTTTCCATTTATGTACATACTTTTAGATTATCATATCTATCAATCGTGCAGTTGATGGGGCATCTAACCAAGCACTGCCTTCGGCTATGGAGAAATCTTTGGTATGAATTTTAGTGGCAAATATCATTTGAATTTTGAACTCTTCTCACTCAATGTGAGGATGTATCTGTCTGAGAACTATCAGCACTTGGCTTCTGTATAATAACGAAGTTTGGACTCACAGTCGATAGTGATACTAACTGATTTTAGGTTTGAAATTGAAGAATTTCAACAAGAAAACAATGTTGAAAACGAGTTAGGTTGTTGATTACACTTGTAACAGAATAACAGATTCCAGGGTTCAGGTTCCCTACATTGTAACAGGGAAAAATTCTAATTCAAACCTTGAGTTGGCTAACAATTACAGGCAGTCAAATTGCTCAACTTTCTGCTGGTCTTTCTGGTATGCTAGATCAATTAACTGTGACATAAAGAGAAGCTACCTCTTGTCCCTACCTAATTACTCTTTTCAGTGATTGCAAATATTGACAGCGTAGTACTATCCATCATGAATATTCTTGCGGCTGTGAATTAGCGTGAATGTCTTTTGGATATATATGCTCTATGTCTTTACCTTCCAAGTTCCAAAGATAATTTTCCCTTTACTTCTTGGGTACTATGTCTTTTGAGATATATATATATATATATATATTTGAGTTTCATAAATGACTTGATATTCACTTTTCCATATATTACTCAATGAGAGATATTGGTTTGTGTGCTTCTGCAGCTTGAAGCATCTCATGAGAAAGAGAAAGAGCTACTTCATGAAATAACGGAGCTGCACAAGAGGTATTGTATTTTTTTTTTTATCTAATCTTTCCCTAGAGGGAAGAGGGTCCCACACATGCAAAACTCACCCACACAACTCATAGTGCATAAAAAGGTTCATGTCACTAAACTAAATGGTTCTTGGCAGAGGTATTGTATTGGAAGTTAAGATACGCAATTATTTGATACTAATGTCAAGCAGGTCTTAATCCTTGATTTGTGACATGCAGGCTCCAAAGTGCCCAGGATGAGATTAAGAAGTTGAAATCAGAAAACGGCCAGGTTTGTATCAATTTGTATGCGTGTCTGTAGTCCACTTTTCAGAATCATACATACTTTGGGGTAATGAATGTGACATTTTAACTTGTAAATTTTAGGTGTGATACTACTGCACTATCCGAACGGATATTTGGAATAGGATCTTGGAGGTGTTGTCGTTGTTCATCAAGTGCAGGCCTAGGAGTACTCAAATATAAGTACTTCAGGGACACTTACAATAAAAAAAAGTAGAGGAAGAAAGTAGAATGGAGATGACTGCAAAATCTTTTTAACTATCAAGAGGTTTTTTACCGAATATTTTGTTTTCAATTACGCCATAGGTGATATGAATTTTATCCTAGTCTATATTAATATGCAGATTCAATGTTGATAATACTCCACGTAGATATTTTTAGTGTTTTTTTTTTTTTTTGAGTGTGCTTGAAGAAGGATGTGGTAATTAGATGATTGTCTCCAAGTTAAGGACCATACAAGAAGGAAGAAAAAGAGAGAGGGGAGGACAATGGACCCCATTTGATATGTGGAACCCACCATACCCTTTGTCTTTTAATCTTCACCTGTACTTCAAGTCCAAATTTGCTTGAAGAGAAATTGAGTCAACCATAGTGTGATATAATTTTATTCTGTAGTTCATGCTTGATTGCAATAAAAGGTAAAGAGGTAAATGAAAAACCAACGGAAGGAGGCAATTTTTTTCTGAGTGAGTAATTCCCTGCTTGGCAAAATTTTCATTCCTAGCCATTAAAACTAAAGGGTCTACAAAAAATGTTACAAATATCTTTAAATTTAATTATGGATTAATTTTATTCTTCAACTTTAAAGATTTTCTTCCTCATCAAGTTGCCATTTTCTCACCATTAGTGGGTCCTATATTATATTTTTAAATATTATTATAAAATATTTGAATTGATGGGTAAAAATGACCTTTTGAATAGAAGTTAAGAGACAAAAATAACCCTAAACTTAATAAAAAATATTAAAAAATAGTGAGATCCACTGATAATTAACGGGCATTAAGTATTTTTAATGTTAGGGTGATGGCGGAGATAATCTTTAAAGTGGAAGAATATAATTAACTTATAGTTAAGTTTAGGAGCACTTGTAATATTTATATACAGTTCAGGAATAAAAATAATTCTTAACCCTTAAGACTAAATGACTTTTTTTTTTTTACCAGTTAAAAACTAAATGACTCAATCATTCCTTTTGCCTATCTCAACATTTTCGCCACTAGAATATTCTTGTTTTGTTCGCCATGCATTAGTTTTGCTGATGGAAGATTCATCTGGTTGGCAAAATTTTCATGACTAATTCTTCATGTGACTGGAAAAATTTATCCGAACTAGGTCTCCTATATGAATTCGCTTGAAAATTACAGTGACAGGCATCTTGTCTCTTTTAGGACACATTCAAGTAAGAGAAAAGCATGATATACCCAACGGACTTGTATTGACTCTTGAGTTTCTTTTCTGGCATCCTAAAACTTGTTTAGGTCCAGTTTAGTTGCTAAAAAAGGAAGAAATGTATTGAATTAAAAAAACAAAGATAAAAATAAGAGGATCAAAATGTAATGAAGGATAAATAAACAATATCCATAAAAGAGAAGAATAATTTAATTCATGACACTGTGAGTCATAATTTATGAAACTTTTAGAGGGTGTAATATTTTTCACATTTATAGTATATGATATTAAGTTTAATATACTTACCGTAAGAGAAAAATGTGATTTAATTTATTTTTATTTTAATTTTTTCAATCCATCCTATTCTTGTCCTTTTTAGCAACCAAATGAAACCTTAGGCCCTGTTTGGTATTAAGTATTGAATTTTGTGGTATTGGGAATGGGAATGGAAATGAGATTGGGATTGGGATTGATAGTAGGAATAAATTTTAAAATCATGTTTGGTATGTCATGGGATTAAAAAAAATAAGACTGGGATTAAAAAAAACTAGTAAAAAGACTCAAATACCCACTTGCCATTTCACCCTCTCAATTGATCATCTGAACTCATTGCCTCTATCTCACCCTCCCAGTCAGTGTCGCAACTTCTCACAAAAGAAGATTCATCGCACAAATTTGAGAAGCGAGGACGACGCTGGGAGAATGGCGTTGACGAAGGTTGTCGATGGAGGAGAAGGAAGGTAGAGGCTGGAGATTGTCGAAGAAGGAGAAGGAAGATGGAGGGTGGGAGTCGTGACGGAGGAGAAGGAAGATGGAGGGTCGGAGTCACAATGGAGGAGAAGGAAGATGGAGGGCCAGAGTCGTCGATGGAGGTCGAGGGTTGAAGCAAGAAAAGGAAGAGATCATCGAAGCAAGAGAAGGAGGAGATCATCGAAGCAAGAGAAGGAAGATGGAGGGTTGGAGTTGTCGACGGAGGAGATCATCGAAGCAAGAGAAGGAAGATGGAGGGTTGGAGTTGTCGACGGAGGAGAAGTCTGGCAGCCATCGACGGAAGAGAAGGAAGGTGGAGGTTGAGATTCGTGGACTGAGGAGAAAATCTGCGTGTTTTCACAAGGGCATTTCAGTCAAAAAAATTTCAATCTCAGGTTAGATTTTCCGGTACTAGGGGGTGGTGGGTTTGAGTATTCCCACCTAAGTGGTACTAAGCAGTCCCAAGGATTGTGGAATGCTTCATACCAAACATGTTAAGAGTGGTATTACCCAAACCCAATCTCAATTCATGCCCTCTGATGCCACATACCAAATAGAGCCTTAGAGTGTTGAGCTAGAATGAATTGATTCCTCTTTTTTTTTTTTTATGGTGATTGTATTTATTTTGTAATATTTAAATTCTGTTGAAATGGTGAGAAAACTATTGAAATAATAAAAATTATAAAACCCCAATAAAATATGTGGAGATAAAAAGAATAACAAATTGCACGGAAATTGTAAAGAGCTATATTATTCCTTATGAATAATGTTAATATTGGCGTTCTTTTTATTTTGGGAGAATGACATTCAAGATTCTGAGAATTTATATGTTAAGAGTTAATTAGTTTTATATTAGATATTGTCTTGTAAAAATATGAATATGTTGTTATTAAAATCTTAATCTTAACTTGTAAACTTTTTAAGGAAATTTTAACAAAAAATGCAAGTTAAGATTTAACTTTTAACAATCATATATACATATTTTTACAATATAATACCCAATATAAAATTAATGAGCTTTTGTTGCGATGAATTGTCCAAAAAGCCTTAAATGTCATTCTCCTTTCTGTTTTTCATTTGAAACAAGGTTAGCAAGGTCAATAAAAAACAGAGTTTGAGTTCTAAAACTTGACGAGCCAGGCCGTTCTTGCAGAAAACAATTGGATATCAATAATTCAAATAAAAATGGAAAACAATTATTTTACTTAAAAAATATGGTAAATAATATTTATCATATTCTTAACACAATAATTTACTTAATATTACTGAAATTATTTATAATAACAATAATAATATATAAATAATATTTTCAAATAAAAAATTATTATTCCTATTTCATTTTAAGGTTGAATGGTAAATTTGTCATGGAACTTTTTCTTCAAGGGTGCCTAGCATCTTAAATTTTTTTTGGAGTACTTTTGCTTCGAACTTTTCAAAAAGAGAGCATTTTTTTTCTTACAGTTAAATATAAAAAATATTGACCGTTAAACTAAAGTTTGACCAAGCATTAAATGACATATTTGTCTAGAACTTTTTTCTCCAATAACGCTGGGTATCCTAAACTTTTATTTCAAGCTTATTTGCCTTAGAAGTTTCAAAAGCAAAGCAATTTTGTCTTGTCGTCAGTATTGACTGTTATTTTGACTATGATTGCCACTTTGTAGCCACGTGGCATAAAAAAAAATTAAAAAAATCTATCTAGATAACAAGAACAGCTCCATTAATATCAATAACAATAGTAAGAACAACTCTATGAATAGAAAGCAAGAACACCAAATAGTAAGTAGTTCTAAATCATCCAAACCTATACCTATACCCAAAAACAATCAACTATGCCTAGACTCCAACCTTGACTTAGATGCTTCTGAGAGTTTCACAACATCAAACTTGACTATGGTGATGGTGGCGAAAAGCAATGGTTTGGATGTTATACGAGGAGCATATGGCAAGTTGGGGGAGGATGACGGCAATCTAGGGAAAGTTAAGAATGACAAATTTGTCTTTGATGGACAAAGCAGCAATGTTGTAGGCTTGAGCAGTCATTTATGGGGGGTGAAAGTGCCTAGCCAGATACAAGAGTTCTTGCAAGGCTCACGAATCTTGGCAACCATTTTTCCTAACTTCACACTTGAACTTCAATTCATGATAATGTGGGAGCTTGCTAGTAGAAAAAGAGGAGAAAGAAGAAGAAAAGGACGATGAAGAAGGGAGGGCGAAATTGCTTCATTTTTAAAACTTTCAAGGTAAATAAGTTCCAAACAAATGGTCAGGATACCTAATGCTCCTAGAGAAAAAATTTCACAGCAAATATGTCATTTAATTATGGGTCAAATTTCAATTTAACGGTCAATATTATTTATATTTAATGGTGGAGCAAAAATATTTTTTTTAAGTTTAGGGCAAAAATACTTCAAAAAAAAGTTTAGAATGCAAGCGTCATTGGAGAAAAATTTTAAGACAAATTTTCTATTTAACCCTTCATTTTATCTGATAAATGAAAAAGAGAAGTAAATCAAATTCTATACAAGATCTAGATTCTCCTATAGGCTATAGCTCTACCTTGCATCACAAACGATTTGTGCTTATAATTTAATTTAAATTGAAGTCTTACGTAAAAAAATTAATTATTAAAAAGTCTATTGACAATTGACTAAACTATATTGACAACATAATTAGTTGTTAATGTAGTTTAATTCAATTATTAATGAACCTTGTAGTAATTAATTGTTTTATGTGAGATTTGATTGTAATTCTTTCTTTAATTTATCATGCATCATAACACTACAATATATTATGGACGTAGATATAATCAAGTTCACATAGCCAAAAATTAGGGCCATTAAACCAAAAAAAAAAAAAAGATATGATTTAGAATGGTGTGAGATAAACCTAAAAGTGGAACTCGTAATCAAGCAATAGAACGCAAAAAGAATTATTCATTAAAATAAAAATAGTAATGTGTTTTGGATATTTGAACCAAATCATGATCATTAAGAATGCATACAAGTAATATTAACGTTGACATGATCCTACTCATAACAGACTATTATTTTTCGTCTTTTTTTTTAATAATGTCTTTTTGAGATTATAATTGCGCATGAGGACGTGTTTGAGAATTAAATAAACTTATCACTATGCAAATTGGGGACACATATAAAAATAGTGGACGTTTATGTATTTTTTGTTTTCTAATGACTTGAATTTTATACGTTTGGCTGAAAATTTTCGGTTGTATTTTTGTTTATTTTAGACAAAAAAATTGTCTTTTTTTTTTCCTTAAGCATAATTTTATGTCATTTAACCCCACAGGTCCAAGTTCAATTAATCAATGTTAGGCATTAATAAGTGTTCATGAACCGAAATGGGCTAGCTCCGAAATTAAAAAAAAATGTAATTACATCTATGCAAAATATATTGCTTTAAAAAATAATTTTATGATAAAAATAACATTGTTTAAAAATCATGAATACTTAATAATTATACATGATTTTTAAATAATATTAAGTTAATTAAGATATCAATTTAGATGTCGGGACAAAATTAAAAAACAAAATATTAAAAAGTATCGATGATATTCATATAATTTATTAATTTTTTCAATGAAAAATGGGGCAGAGACCGGAACAATATTTAACAAGAAATTAAACATGAGATATTAATGCCCACTTTATTTCGATACAATCAGGTTATAAGTTCTTTAGGATTACATTATATGCTCAGCCAGCCAATTTGAGCACGTTTCCTCTAAGATTATGCTTAACTTGAATTTGCCACTCATTTGATAAGAATCTAAAAAAAATCTCAACCTGATAAAAATAAGAATTAAGGATCATGTTTATCCTTAAACTTTATTTGAAAGGTCACTTGGGATCCTAAATTTAATTATGGGCAATTTGTCCTTTAACATTGAAGATTCCTTCCTTCATCATCCCTAATATTAAAAACATTTAATGTTTGTTAGTTATTACTGAGTTTTATTATTTTTTTAATATTTTTATTAGGTTAAAGATCATTTTTGTCTCTCAATTTTTATTCAAAAGATCAATAGGCGCCCTCAACTCATATATTTTATATAAAAAAAAATTAAAACATGTAATGTGGAGCCCACTAAAGATGATAAAATGGTAGGGTGATGAGGGGAAAATATTTAAAGATGAGGGATTAAATGTGTATGTAGTTTTCAATTTACATTTAGCAAAAGTACATTTGGGGATCAATTATTTGTTGGATTAAAGTATATCTAGATATAGTTTGAATGTGCTTTTAGTAGTTAGCCAAACGGGCTTTAAATTGATCTATAGTTGAGTTTATGATTTCCAATGACCTTTCAGGTAAAGTTGAGAGGCAAAAATGATCATTAATTTCAAAAACAACCTCATCTAATCAATTAACATTAACACATTAATAGAAGCAAATTTTGTTTAAAAACACTAATAAACAGTTTTTTTTGAGAACCAAATAAAATCATTCAGTTAACTAGTTAAATTGAGAATTCAATCACATTAAGAAATCGGTAAACTTAAGAATCGGTTTAAATACAATCAAACTAGCATCAAATAAGTTGAATTGGTCGTATTACTTTTCAGTTTATAAAATTTTAATTCATATTTGTAAGTTACAATAGTACAATTAATGTATATATTTTTATATCTAATAAGTAATATAGTGAGAGATGAACTTGGCTAGTGGAAGCATAAATCATATTAAATGTAAAAATAATAAAAGATGCTTCAATATATATTTCATATATATATTTTTTAATTCAAATATGTTTCAATTGGGTCTGTTGGTTCAAAATTACTGTGACAATGGATAAAGAAAAATTATATTACCCACTTCAAATTTCCATCTACATGTGCATCCGCTATTGTTATTTGTTAAGCATTGGGATTTGGGAAATGAAAAGAAAATGAATAAATATGCAATATATATACATACACATTTTAAAGTTATAAATTATAAAATAAGTATATATATTTTAGATAAAATCCACATAATATTGGTGGATATTATTATAGATAGATATTATATTTTTATTATATATTATTTCATTTTAAAATTTTAAAATTCATTTTATTACTAAATATAATTATTTCTTTTTTACTTTTTTTTGGGCCAATTTCTTTTTTACTTTAAACATATGATATTTAAATTATATTAATTTATTCATGATTGGTTATATGCATTTCAAACTGCAACCCAATCATTAAATTATCAGTGTTTTTACTGGTTCAATAGTCAATTTAGTTTTCTTAATATTGTTGATATAATGTGTGTGTGGGGCTAAGCCACGCAAAAAACATATTTGGATTTAATAAATGACATAAGTATACTCACTCAATAAATATTTTAATTACAATAATTAAATTCATCAATATTTAAAAATTATTAAAATAATAAATCTCATCATCAAAACGCTATTAACATATGCTCCCCTTCAAAACTTTAAGATGGAGACCAAACTTTTTGGGCTAAGAGAATAAACTCTCATAATTGAATTTAATTAACGACAATTATCTTAGCAAATCACTTCAATTCAGCTCAACAATTCATCGATCAAGTAACGTTAACAGGAAAGGTTGAGGATGGTTTGGTAATTTCCTCTCATACAGAGTAACAGTCATTAATAAAAGTTACGTGGTTTCCAAGTTATCGAAACATGATCAAGTTGAAGGAATGAAGGATGAAGAGTATATCATAAAATCATAAGGTCGACAAAATAATAACAACAACAACAATATTTCATCGGAAAATAAAATAATAATAGGAAGTAAAATAAAGAACAAAGAATCAGCAATGGAGCGCGGGGAACGTGACGTGAAGTTCGTCGTTTAGTCGAAAAAGGACAATTACGTACATCAGATAATCATGGGAAATGCACCGAGCCAAATCATCGATAATCAGAATCAACGTGTTATTTATTACATGCTAATTTTCATCACTAACATCCCCGTTTGAATAGATCATCTATTCTCCTTCTCATGAGCTATATATATATATATATATATATGGGCGCTCTGAGAAATTCGGAGTTTCGGACGGTGAAGGAAGGGCGAGAGAGATGTCGTCGAGCGATAAGTCGCAGGCGAAGTCGAAGGAAACGGTGTTCGTGGAGCACCGAATGGGAGCAAATGGCCTCGAGAAGGTCATTCTCAGAGAACTTCGAGGCTTTTCTGCGGAGGTATCATTAATCCATTAACTCTGTAATTACATTTCTGCATTTTGTTGCTCGTATTCGAGAATTTCCATTTTATTTTCGCTTTTCATCCATTTCCACTTGTGGGTCCCTCGGTGAGCTTTTTCTTGTTTTCAATATGATTACGCTTATTGAATTGTTGTGTCCTTGTCTGGGTATTTTCTTTTTGGTTTTATTCTATTCGCTGGATGAATTTCCGGCATTTGTGATCAGCGGTTGAGCAAACTGAGTTCTGGAATCTATGTATTCATGATTTGTTAAAGCATTCTCTGAATCTATCAATTTGCATTATTTCTGGATTGCCACATGTTTCATCTACTTGACAAATAACGGTGCTGGTGCGAAAATATCTCATGGGGATCGGTTCCTAGTATGCTATCTATGATCCAATATATCATTCCTTAGTAGATTTGAGATGTGACTTTAGGATTTCCATTTACAAGAATTTTGGTGATTGGTTTGGTGGCCCAAGGATGGCCTTGTTGAGGCAAACGAAATCATATTCGTTTAACTTTTGCTGCTCCTGGCATGATTTCATTGGTTCCGACAAAGCTGATCTGGATCAAATTTTGAAGTGGAATAAGAATCGTGCCAGAACTGAACATGTGACGCAATTTTGATAGCTGATCCTAACCTTCCCCATGACAGACGGGAAAATAGAATAAAAATTTCCATGCTTGATCTTTCTTCTTGGGAATAAAGATTCCATGGATAATCATGTTATCATGTAACGTTTGGTCATTTTATGTAGTTTTTTTTTCCCATTTGAAACTATATCCTGGTTCTGTCACTATAACTTGGCATGCCTGCCGAGCATGAAGAAACCGTCATCCTAACGGCTTGCTTTCTGCGACGGTATCAGGATGAGTTCTGTTTAATCTTATAGTTCCTAAAATTTCACTTCCCGCATGCTAAGGAAGACTAAGTTTTGAATAGTTTACCCTCATTTTGGACTTTTTTTCTTGCTATTCTATACGATTTAGAATTCATAATTAACATTGTATTTATTCGTCTTAAAAAGTTGAAGTCCATATGATTATATTCCTTTTATTTAACACAGGTGTATCTATATGGAGGTCAAGTTACATCCTGGAAGAATGAACTTGGGGAAGAGTTGCTCTTTGTTAGTAGTAAGGCATGCCATTTCATCTTTGTGTAGCTCTTTTGTAATTGAAGCTTTGCTTGCTTAAAGTAATGTGCCGATGATGCTATATATTCCCTTCACATTTTCAGTAATGCTGACAGGTATAAAAATGTGTGTGTGTGTGTGTGTGTGTTTGTATGTACATAATAAATTTATAGAAAACTGCATTGTTTACAAGTCATAAAGATTACAACATGCTAGATAGGATTCTTTGCAATGCATGGGTCCCATGGTCTAAGTTGAGCATATAGTTGTACATTCTACATTATCTTAAACTAAGTGAGTCTCATGCACAAATTTCGAGATGAGTTGTACTGTTCATGACTTATAAATAAGGTGGTTTCTTACAATGTTTTTTGTTATATTCTAATTATTAATAAGTTCGATTTCCCAAAATTTTCATTTATATTCCGCCTCTTTGAACTTCACCCCTTCGAATCATTGCAGGCAATTTTTAAGCCCCCAAAAGCTATACGTGGAGGTATTCCAGTTTGTTTCCCTCAAGTATGAATGTCTTCTTTAGCTTCCATACTTTCATATTCTTTTATTTTGTTTCTTAAAGTGCCCTGCTTCATATGTAGTTTTCAAATAATGGGTCTCTTGAACAACATGGATTTGCAAGGAAAAGGCTATGGACCGTAGATCCTGATCCTCCACCATTGTCAACGGCTAACACAAGCAGGGCTTTCATTGATTTGATTCTTAAGAACTCTGAAGAAGATGCAAAGATTTGGCCTCACAGGTATAAGATGTATATTAACATTAATGTGAATGTCAATACTAGGCTTCTTGAGCAAATAAACCCTGCAGCTGTTTTCTTTCTCATTTTTGGTCCCACCACCAAACGAGTATGGAGTTTTTATCAAGAAATTCAGCCAACTACATATAAGCTGTAACAAGATGAAACCTGATATTGTTCTATGAGAAGTCTTCAGTTTTAACTTGCATATTCTCACAATTTCTGTTTCTTTGCACTTTCTTAGTTTTTTATTCAATAACTTGGATTAAGGGAATATCACATTTTCGCTGTTTGCAGATATGAGTTTCGTCTGAGGATATCTTTGGGACCTCAAGGAGATTTGATGTTGACATCCCGCATTCGAAATACAAATACAGATGGAAAACCATTTTCCTTCACATTTGCCTATCTTACACATTTACAAGTTACTGACATCAGGTTTTATCTTAGCCCTGGATTTTTTGTTTATTGTTTAATCCTTAATAATTTCCCCTTCAGCATATGCCATATACATTTCCCCCTCTCTATTAGTAGCTGGGAACTTTGGATCATAACTTATGCCCAAGATTCTCAAGCAGTTTGAAAAACCACAGATTATCACTTATTCAATTTTTAAATTTTTTTTTTTAATTTTCTGATAAACTACTTACTGTTCCTTCCAGAAGTTATTTGGCTCTGCTTTTCTAAACATTAATTTTTCCAATTTGGGCTTCATTTTCAGAGCCTAATTGGCTTTGTTCTGACATTTGTGATTGTGACTTCTACAATTTGGTAACAAGCTAACTGTCACGTTGCTAATGTATAGTGAAGTGAGGGTAGAAGGACTTGAGACAATAGATTATCTGGATAACTTGCAAAATAGACAACGGTTTACTGAACAAGGGGACGCACTAACATTTGAGTCCGAGGTTTGGATTTTATGTGCATTATTGGAGTAATTTCTTGAATTGTTTTATACTGTTTAGGTTCAACTATTTGACTCTTTCTTTCCTATGTGTTCATTTGATCGCAAAGGTGGACAGAGTATATTTACGGACACCTACAAAAATTGCTGTCATTGACCATGAAAGGAAGAGAACTTATGTAGTAAAGAAAGATGGACTTCCAGATGCTGGTGGGTTTAATAGTATATGTTTCCTTATGTGCAGGCAGAAAGAATTGGATCACTGATTCATCATGAAATTTGAGAGTTGATGTTACAACCTTTTCATTAGTTATTTGTGTAGATTAAAGTGTGTATTCTTCTCTAAAATGAACAAACTGGCTTTGTCTGGAGGAAGGATGAAATGATCATACATATGGTCTTTAATTTTTCTTTTTGGGGGTAAAGGTATTACTGTGTTTTTTCCTTTGCAGTGGTTTGGAACCCTTGGGACAAGAAATCTAAAGCCATGCCCGATCTCGGGGACAAGGACTACCTGCGCATGATATGTGTTCAGGCTGCATGTGTAGAAAAGCCAATTACCCTAAAACCTGGTGAAGAATGGAAAGGGAGACAACAAATAACTGCAGTTCGTTCCAGTTATTGCAGTGGTCAACTTGACCCACAGAGGTACTTCTCTATGGCTATTAGAACAGAATGAGGCCTGATGCTTCTCCCTCTGTACAGGTAAATCACACAACTTTTATGACAGTACTGTTTCAGTGGATGGTGTTTGATGCGCGGGCGCGGGCGCGCGCGTGTGCATGTTTTTTTGGTCGGAAAGTATTGAATTTGGTCTTGGTTGGAAGGAGGATTCATTATTAGTATATATTTTGCTGTTAGGCTTGTTAAGTATTTTCAGCATGGGTCACGATTGAAGCGGGCCGAAGAAATAGATCTAGGTGTTTGCAAATTTATACAATCTTTTTTAATGAAGATGAGAATAAAGGGCGTATAGACGACTTCGAATTTTTTTGGTCAATAGACGGCTCTATTAGTCGTATTCTTGTTAACTCAGTAAGAGACATCGTTTCTTGCTTTGCTTGTGCATCTTCCTGGAACAGCAGTATCATAATTGCAATTCTATTCCAAGTTTTCAAAGCTCTAAACATCCGGTTTTGTTATCTGCTCATTAGTATCCGTTGTTACAACTAGGTTGACATTTATGTTTCAAGTTTCAATCATGGGTTGGTCCAAAAAATGAATTCATTCATTGGTTTTGATAAATTAAGCTTCAGCCATTGGATGACTTCCAGAACCGCCCACGTAATACTGAAAAAGAGGTTAAATATATATACATATATGAGAGAGAGAGAGAGAGAGCAACACACAGGAGACTATGATGGGGCAGGGTAGTAAGAGAGTGAAGCCTAATATAAATTCTTAGATACCATACTAAATACAACTTGGCGTTTAATGCCTCAGCAATGGTGGCCATATTCCATTAGATGAGAACAAAGGGTTGCCGCTTGCTAAGGCATCAAACTTGAGTGTGATTAGTAGATTCTGATGATTCTTGAGTATGGTCAGACCATACAAGAACGCTCCAGGATGGGTTTTGCTTAGGCTTATCATGTTTGTGTATTAGATCAGTTTCTGATCTGTGCAGCATTTCCCACATCACTTGCACATCTTGATACCCACAAGTTTGTACTTCATCCTGAAGCTTCAGCAGCCCTCTACCTGCATCAAACAAAACCATCACCACCACCACCATATAAGATAAATTCATAATTAGAAGAGTCGTCCTTGACACCAAACTTAGGTTATGGCACAAATGGACTCTTTTTAGGCCAGAGAGAGTAATCAAAAGGTGTTTTGCGACAGAGAAACTCTGATGCTCTATGCAGGCCATTCCTAAAATAAGGAGGGTATAAAGTGGCACTCAAAAAGATGTGGAACCTATGTTTAGGTTGGTTGGCACTTGTATGTGAAAACAAGTAATTCATAACAGTGGCGTAATGGCTGAAAATTTGTTCATGAATCTGTGTGTAGATATGTAGATATTTGTGCATCCATATATTTACAATTTATGAACTTCCTTTCGTCTCTAAATGCTCTGCTTTGTGGATATAAAGCTTGACGAGCATAAAGCAAATATATAAACACACATCTATTATTCCATATCTGTTCTATCCACTATGCCTTTTCTGTGTCATTACTCATAAACCATCGCATACGAAAAGCGGATCTAAAGAAAAGAAGGAAACCTCTTTCTTCTGTTCTTTATCTTGTTTTTTCAGATTCTTTTGTACCCATAGTTCTTTTTTCTTTTCTTTCAGATCAAAAGTACAAATTTCAGTGCATACATTGAATGCAGAAAAGGCAGTGGCCTCCACAGTAGAATTGGAAAGAAGAAGAAAACAAACGAGAACCAGAAACAGGGTATTCAGTATGATACACCGGTTTCTGGCCCTGTTAAGTCTTTCCGATTCAATTTGTCCAAAAAAAAAAAAGAGGAGGAGGAGGAAGATAATTCAACTACGAAAGAGAGAGATGCTGATTTTTTTTCCCCCTTTGCCGTTGTTGTTGCCGATATGATATATTGATATCTCCATGGAAGATTTCTATCCTATATATGTCATTCATATCTATGAATAAACCACGATCAAGATAATAATGATAATAATGAGTTAACAAAGAACCATTTCTTCCCTTGCACATATAGATTTGAAAGTAAGTTTGTCACACTATATTAGAAACAGAGGTCAAGAACAGAGACAAACGAAGAAGAAGAAGAAGAAGAAGAAACAAAAAGCAAAATCGAAGCAATCAATACCGTTTTTGCGAGCTCTAAGACGAGAATAGAGAGCAAGCCAAACACGCCTCACGCCAAACGCCATCTTGTTCCAAATATCCATACACTATTATTATTCGTCGTCTTCTTCCGTAGCCAAAGCTTGCAGCAGCAGCAAACTTCTGATCATCAATCTCTCTCAGTGCGAATCAAAATCACAGTTCACTTCATTTCAACCTTTCCGACGGAGAAATCGTGAGTGAGTCTGAGTTTGATTTGATGATTAGCTTGGAAGCCAAAGTTGGGTCGCTATAGTGCTTTCTGATTTGTGCATTATAAATAAGAAGCTCCGAGTCAGACCACCGACACGTGATCTTATTTTTTTTAAAATTTGTTTTAAAATATAAAATTATTAACCTTTATCGGCGTCGCCTCCTCCATTAATTCCACTAGCGTCGTGTGTTGGTGACTTTTCTTGTTGTGGCTCTGCTTCATCATTCACTATTTACATCTTATGGATTCAGATTCTTTCTTAAAATTTTATTTTTTAAAAGAAAAATATAAGCTTACAAAAATGCCATTCATTTAATAAACGAGGGAGGGAAAGAAAGATATTTAACGAGTGAAATATAAGAAGTAATTTTGGAATAAGTTTGATTAATGAATCATCATTTTTCTCAAGCTATTTTATATTATGAAATATTAAATCACTAAAAAATATCTTATCAAATGAGGCAGATGGAGAATATTTTCTCCATTCAGTATTATAAAATATTTTTAATTAAATTACATTTTCAAAAAATTAGTTAATTATTTTTAAAATTACACACTTTTTTATTTTAATTTTATTTAAAAGCATGTCTCAATTAAAAAATCTATTAAATATACTTTCTAATTAAGAATATATTTTTTAAAAAAATCCTATTACTTGCATCTTAAAAGACTCAAAATGATTTATATTTTTCAATATGATATTTTGAAAAAAAATGTCCTTATAATATTGAAGGAAGGAGTATTCATTATTTTTGGGTTAAATTTAAATATTATCAAATATAATTAAGTAATTAATAATCACTCACGTTCAACATGAATTCATTTCATCTATAAGGTAGGAATCAATGATCTTATATTAAAAAAAAATTGAGTTTTTTTTTCCCAGTCTCAACCACCGATGTGTGGAATAACTTTTGAATAAAATTAAACAATGGTTAATTATTCTTCCTTTACTCTACTCTTTGAAATTTCTATAACTAAACTAAAGAAAGCAAATTTCAATTTCTTTTTCATTTGGCTCCTTTCTTCCAATTCTAACATGCATCTAGAATTGATCTTTCTTCTTACACTATAATGATTTTGTTTATGGAAAGAATCAAGAGAATATATTTTAACTTTTAAAATTGATAATTTATATGTTTCTAAGGAGGAGAAAAAAAAAAAAAAGGAATCAAATCAAAGACATGAGCCACCAAATGGCAATAATTTTTGTCGATGTATTATTGGACATGTATTATATAATATGGGAGGGTATATGAGAAAGCAGAAAGACACACGTGGTGGAGAGCATGTGGTATTATTTTGAGATACTTGGATTCAAAATGCGGTTTTTAACACGTGTCTCATTTCTTGTGATCCATTACACATCCATATCAAGTTTTTGGAAATTGTGGAAAAATAATTTTGCTTGAAAACAAAATGTGAACCAAACTTCAAAATTATTCGTTACCACTGTTTACGTGCGCATGGGCGGTTTGACTGTCCCCCGTTTTGCGTCTAACTTCCATTATTATTATTATTATTATTATTATTATTATTATTATTATTATTATTATTATTATTTTCTCTATAGATACTTCTTTAATCATGTCTATTAATCGCTCCCAACGTATTTTTCTGAAATTTAAAAAAATAAAACTTATTAATTTTATTTAAAAATTATTTTTATTTAAAAATTTAATAAGTTTTTAACTTCATCATTATTAAATATGTATACTTTAGCAACACATTTTTTTCCTCTAACATTTAATGAAGGATAAAAAGAAAAATTTATAATAAAAATTTATTGATGTGATTTATAAATAAGATAAAAAAATTTTTCTATTTGCTTTATAAATTGGAACAAAAAATATTCTCTTTTTACTCTATAAATAAGATTAGAAATAGTAATTAATTATTTTGTATCCAATATCATTAAATTAAATTTAAGCATTCTCATATGTAATTGAAAGCAGTTTAAAACTCAAAAGTTCTTCATACCCCAATTACTAAAACCAACATATATTAAGTATAGATCCATTCATTTTATGGTGGTGGCAATTACCCCCACAAACTTTTTAAATTTTATTAATGTAAGCGTATAATATGTGTAAATTGCCCCTATTTTATATACATGTCATATTCTTTCGATCATATTTATAAGGTAAAAAAAAAGGCATTTTTAATTATATTTATAAGTTATATTATTAATTTTTCAATACAAATTTCTTTTGTTATCCTTAGAAGAATTATGTTCTTAAAACATATATATTTAATAGAAATAAATCCAAAAACTTATTGAATTTTTTTAAAAAAAATTAAAGTTAATGAGTTTTAATTCAAGGTTTTTCAGTAAAGAAATTTTTTTTTGTCAAACCGGTAAAATATGTAATAAGTAATTTATAAGTAAAATCAAAATATCAAGAATTTGATGATATTATATAAATGTGAGCCTATTATAACAGAATTCACAAAGTTAAGATATATTATAAAATAAGAAGTTTCTACACCCTTTTTATACAAACAGATATTGACCAAAGAAATTTTGACATAAATTGCATTATTTATAGCTTCTAAATACATTACTTTCACTTCCAATGAATTTGAGCTCTAGTGAAGTTGAGGGCTCATATCTTTTTTTTTTTAATTTATTTCATGAGGGCTCATATCTTATGAATGAAAAAATTACTTCTAAGTAAATTCAGTAATGCTTAAATTCAATAAGAAATTATGACTGCTTAATTATAAGATTTTATATTGGAGTTTGTATGAATATAAAAAACATCTTTTGAGAAAGTTAAAGACTTGTTGATTCTGTTTTCTATTTTTATGTTATCAAAACAATTTTCTAGAATAGTTTTCTAGAACAAGTTTTGGAAGAAAAAAAAATCTATTCATTCATTATTTTAAAAAACATATCTAAATTGGTGGAATAAAAAGTCAAAAAATAATTTATTTTATTAAAATTATTGTCATTAATGAAAGCATAGTATTTTTTTTTAGTTTTTCAGAATACAAAATAACAAAACATTTAAAAGATATTATATTTTTTTAGTTATATAGGATAACTTTTAACTTTTTTATTTTTTAACAGATAATAGAAAACACATTTTTTTAATTTTTCTAATTTTTTGTTTTTTAGAACATAAACGGTTGTTAAAAAAGATTTCCAAACAAATTCTTATTTTTTATTGAATCTAACAATACCTGAATATGATCCACTCAAATAGTTATATAAAAAATAATACTTAAATTTAACATAGTAGTATCATGTAATTATATTTTATGTATTGATGTCCTGACAGAACTGCTAGATCTAGAATTAGGATGAGTCCTATGCTTTAGCACAAAATCTAAAATAAATCAAATTGTTGATCACTCGCAAATAGTATAATTTAATGTAATTTATAATATTTTTATATTAATAACAAGTTATTGATGATTGGTAATGCAGAATACGAGGAAGAGGAGCAACGTCGGTGACGTGGTCAATTAGGGATCAAATGTCAACATTGGTTGCTCCTCTGACTCTGTCAATCATAGACTCACCATTTCTTTTCAATTTCAAAATTCATTCTTTCTTAATGAATAAACAAATAAATTATCAGTGTTGGGATTTAGGTTCTCCCTCTCATCATACTTTTTATGATTTTTTTAATAATTCATGATGAGTTATGTTTTGTAATTATTAAATGATTTTTTATTATCATTTTATTCTTTTATGTTAATTTAATGACATTTTATATAAAATTAATTTTAAATTCTAATTGAGCTTTGGTTGAGGTCTCCATCATGCATTCAATTTCACTTTAACCCCTGTTTGGTTATAACAGTTAGGAAGGGAGTTTCTAATAACTTCGATTTGAAAAAAAAAATAAATGGGATTATAAAATTTTACCAAGGAAAATATATAAATTAAAAGTAAAAAAATTAATTAAAATATTCTGATCCCAGCAATCTATTTTTTTTTAAAAAAAATGAAATCATTAGAACTTTTCCACCCCTCCTTGTTCTCTATTCCACTCCAACCAAATAGATCTTAAGTTTCAAGTAATTTATCAATCCCATATTATTTTTTAAAAAAAATGTTAATCATAATTAGAAGCATGCAATTCTTGCATTTCTTTATATACTTCTCCCATCTCAAATTATAAAATATTTTTTAATAAAATCTTACAAACATATTGTAAAACATATTTAACAATATTATTTTTTTAATATAGATAGAGAGACAGAAATTAAATAGAGAGATAAAGTATAATATTGAAATAAGCATATCTAACAAAATATTAATCTTTTCAAAATATTTTATATTTTAATACATCAAATCTCTCACAAAAATATCTTATAATTTAAAAGAAACAAAAGTATAACTAATCAATATTTACATGACATCACGAATATTGAAAATGGCCTCATAAATTGAAATTTAGTTGTGTGGTGGGTCAAGGTTAGGCATTAATTAAATTAAATGCTACATGCCATATTCTTGAAAGCAATTGAGGGAGAAAATTAGGGGACTTTTGGGTCATGCATGACGAACACAAAGTCTTCAATTAATTGATAGAAGATATGACAATCTAGATTTTTGCTTCAAATGGGAATGAACTTTGAAATTGAATGGTTTCACTTCTCGTGGTTAGAATTCTTTTCTTTTATTTGTTTTATTTGTCAATTTCAACTAATTAATTAATCAAGAGGAAAGAAATGGCAGAAACGGTGTGTGACTCACTTTTTCATCTCTTCACATCTAATTGTCAATGTCTATGTGCACCTAATAATTCCTGACAATTC